AATTTGAGTATTTGAGCGCGTTTAAATTTGCTATCGAATTGGGTTTCGTGTAGACTGCCTCGAATTAGTTTGTCTTAAGTTGTACGTTTAGGACAAGAGGCTTAGGGCGTGGCCCGGTTAATTGGTTTTGGAAGTTTAAGTTAATGTTGAATTGTACCGTCGCGTTAAGTGCCTTTTGTGTGTTGGCTAGGTAGTTAGTTTGCGTGTCAGATAGGCTGATTTTGAGTCGTAATGCGGGCGTAGTATTTAATATCGTACGAAGGAATTTAGTTTGTCGTTTGTAACGCTGAACTTTGTGACTCGAGAAGAGATCGCGTTCTTGTTCGTGGTTATAATCTTGTTGCTACGTGAAATGGAAGTGAACTTTGATCCACCATTTATTAGTCGTGCCGTGTGTTAACTTTTTGATTACGATTAATCGGGATGTTAATTAAACGTACAATAAAAGTTGGTGGATTGAAATCGTGTACAATAAAGTTGATAAACTGAGATAGTGAAATGAAGACAGAAGTTGTCAATTGGTGATCGCCCCCTTTGAGAGATCTCACCTTTGGAGTAGAGGCAACGCCTGTGGATCTGCGGTCAGACTTCAACGTTCCAGACAGTCAAACATTATACACACCACTTAACATGCACCTACACCTATACCTACGGCCTGACCGAGCCTTGGCGCAGTCTTCGCTTCGGAACCAGGTACGTCCTATTTATTTACCTAGCCTTGTCTCTATTGTGTAGGTCAATTGTCCATAGGCATTTTGAGCCCCACCCTTAGCTGCCCGTCGATGGGATTACTCATGGGCCCTAGTCCCGTCAACCTTTGTTGGGGTAGCTAGGGGGCGTGTACAGTTTGTTTAAAATAAAGACAAAACATATATATAAGTTGTAAAATTTTTTTGTAAAAGTGAAATAAGTGTGGCGGGTGGAAGGGAAAGGTGTTCTGCCCGGGGAGCGTTGTCCGCTGTTGTTGTAGTTAGGAGCTATTATATATATACTGCTTTAACTTCGGAACTTTGTTAGCGCGATTTAGGCTTCAATGTGTTTAGCTTGTGGCGCGACGACAGCGCCGTCACATAAGAAATAAAAATATTTCTATTACCTCACTAATATTTTATTTGCGTGTGGGCAAATTTTATTTATTTATGCTAAAGCCAGATTACGGATATTACGGTAACTAACACGTGGAGAGTTCCATCACCGATACGGTCAATTTTTAAAAAATAATACATTAGAAACGTGTCAGATGCAGGCGAAAATGGACGATCTTGATTTAGCAATGATAATTTACTTGGAGAATGAGCAGTCATCCTCAGAAGAAGAAAATAATCGTATGGAGGAAAATGATTTATTCAAAGCTCGTGGTACAGAAGGTGCATTTGAGATTTAAATGCGTCGTCATCTACGGTGCAAAAATGAGAAATTCAGGGAATACTTTAGCCTATCACCAGTTTTATTTGAGTACTTAATCACATATGAAATGATTTAAGTTACAAACCATACTAACAAACACAAAAAGCCAAAACTACCGATTATCACGAGCTCGAAGAACTACTGAAAATATGTTTGGAATTACATACAATTCGATTCAAATAATAGGATCGTCAATGACCTCAAATGACCGCGATCTGTAACTGTCGCTGTAAAAGTACAGTTTGCAAAAAAAAATTGCATATTAATTTGCGTTCTTTTTCACTTTATTTAACTGAGTTTTAATACTACCGAATCTATTGAACTATATTATTATATATTTATTTAACATATTGATACTAGTCGTTGGAATATTTTTAATATCTTCATAAATCCATGTTCTATTTTTATAAGAGAAAGCGGCAGTGATGATAATCCCAACAATTATGAAGTTCGTTCACGGTTTTTTGTGAATAAATATTATTTTAAAAATATCTGTTTTGCTGACCCTACCTAACTGGTTTGAATTGACAGCTTTGACGTTACAATATAATGACGTCATACCTATTACTACTGCTCCAGCAGTGGCAGACAAACTGGTAGTGTGTGCGTGTATTTTATATGCATAACATGTTACGGGAAGCAAAAGTACTGGCAACTGAAAATTTGCCAGTATCCACTGTTTTTCTTGGCATCACTCTTGACGCAAAGCTCCAGTGGGGCCCCCATATATCCAAATTAGCAAGCAGACTAAGTTCTGCAGCCTATGCTGTAAAAAAGATTAGAGGTCTCACCAGTGTCGAGACAGCTAGATTAGTTTATTTTAGTTATTTTCATAGCATAATGTCTTATGGGATATTGCTATGGGGTAATGCGGCTGATTCAGAAACTATTTTTGTTTTACAGAAGAGGGCCATTAGAGCTATTTACAATCTAAAACCGAGAGAGTCTCTTAGAGATAAATTTAAAGAAATTAATATATTAACTTTGGCCTCTCAGTATATTTACGAAAATTTAATGTATGTTCACAAAAACAAAGATAGTTTTAGTAAAAGAAGTGATATACATTCTGTAAACACTAGGAACAAACACAAGCTAGTGATACCAGTTTCTCGACTCCACAGAGTCAGTAATTCATTCTTGGGGCAATGTATACGCTATTACAACAAGGTCCCGGAAAGTGTACAGGTTCTCTCTATTACCAAGTTTAAATGTTTTATTAAGCTGAAACTGTATAAAAAGGGTTATTATAGTATAAATGAATACATGGTTGATAATAACCCCTGGGAATGAGGTGATCGCTTCCAAGCAGTTTCTAAAATAAATTTTGTAAATAGTTCGTAATCATTTATATTGTAAAATTTATTTAAAAAAAAAGTCCCGCTGGGTTTCTTGCTGGTTCTTCCCAGGACAGAGGGTTTTTTCGAACCAATGGTAAAGTAAAAAATGACTTTCAATAAGAATTACACTTGTAATGTATATTGAATAAAAAATATTCTATTCTATTCTATTCTATTCTATTTAATACCTCTAGCAAGTCACAATGTCCGGGTCCAAATGAATCCCACTCAAATACACGTTTTCGGGAGCGTTTCACTAACAACCGATATATCCCTTGATATATCGGTTGTTAGTGAAACGCTCCCGAAAACGAAGACAGACGATAGTACTAAGGATACCTTTGATAATGGGTCAGAAAGAAATTCGATCCCGAGGGGAAAAAATCATCTTTTAACAACGTTTTATTAACTTTATTCACGCTCCATCATGTTAGTATAGCTAAATGAAACGATAATTTCATAAAAAAAATTATGAAAATACTTAAAAATAAAACGAGCAGTGAAATTTAAAATAAAATCTGCTGACTATACGGTCAATATTCTCGCGGACGCCGAACTCTTATCTAGCCCGGTGCGAAACAATGCCTACTCACTCTACCGTTCCCTTTCACACACGCGCTACCGCCGCCCGGCTGGCGCGTGTCGCCTCGCGCTGTGGAATTTACACATGTCAGCTTTCCCTAATTCCTAAAATTGCGGGGAATTTAAAGTTTATTGAGGATTTTATGGGGATTGGTATTGTGCGGGGAAAATAAGGTGATTTTGGAAATCGAAGGCCAGGACCAAGTCAGAACCTTTTCTCAAGAAATCTGAATACTTATCTTAACATTTTGTTAGGTTAATTATGAATATCGAATGACTCCCCTTTTTTAATTATCTTCATTGCACCACTTTGTTTATTACATTATTGTTGTTACGTTTTGTTTTTCTTGTTTGTTTTAATAATGCCTAACGCGTAGGTACGTTTATAGTGCTCGTGAATACGGCAACATGTTAATGTGCCTTAGAGGATCTCATAAAGCCACGGAGGATTTAGATCGGTAAGCTGTTTCATACCAAGTTTTTTTTAATAACTTAGTACTGAATCTAAATAGGTACATAACTGAATACATCAGAATAATAAACATACCTACACGATGGTTAAAAAAGGATGACTCTAAGCTTGTTAACATTTCATTTAAGTAATTTTTTCATTAGCGGGGAATCGAACCAGGTATTTGGTTTATTTAACCTGTTAATTCGAATTAAAGTGGCTAGACGTAAATTGACCCCTAGTCAGCTGCCTGTAATTCCACTGCTGGTTTTATGTTTAAGTATTTTCATGATTTTTTTTTATTAAATTGTCGTCTCATTTAGCTATACTAACATGATGGAGCGTGAATAAAGTTAATAAAACGTTGTGAAAAGATGATTTTTTTCCTCGGGATAGAATTTCTTTCTGATCCATTATCAAAGGTATCGTTAATACTATCGTCTGTCTTCGTTTTCGGGAGCTTTTCACTAATACCCGGTACCTAGATTATTAAGTATAATATTCTGTAATGTGAAAAGCAAATAATTATATACCTTCAGTGAATTGTACATACACGTTTTATTTAAAATTCAATTTCAGGCCACAAATTCTGTTATTACTGGGTTTGCACGTATTCCTTACTTTTCATATCGTAAATAACGTCGATGATTACGCACAAAATAAAAATTCCTAGCCCTTGCTGCTCCAGTTGGAGTAGGTACTGATCTTGTTTACCGTCACCGGTCACCGCTATCGAAAAAACGTTCGTGAACTATCCGGCACTGTTAAGACGTCCGTCTAGGAACCCACGGTATCTTGTTTACATAGACAACGTTATAGTGACGTCATTCACTGCTTTATTACGACAATTATGTAGCAGCACCGCAATCCTAAGAAACCAGAGCTTAAGTGGATACTATGGTCTAATAACATCTACATTTTTCCTCGGTTAAGAAGCAAATGCAGGTGGTGCGTTGTCACCCCTGAGGACAAAGATAAATTCTTTTATCATTTTGGTGTTTTTTCCATTTACCAAATTTTGATACTAATTTGCTGATTTTAAAGAAAACTCCATCGATTTCACATATTGACATTCGAGAAGTGATGTATTAGATGTGTTCTTAAAGTTGTATTTCTTTTGAATAATAAAAATTGTTGCCTTTTTGTGTTTAACTTAACTCTGCTTTATAATTAGAATAAAAGAAAGAGGTTAAGATTAAAAATATATAAAAAACAAAACTTACGATACTATGACACGAGCATCGGTAGCACCATTTGGACTAGGAGCGTCGAAACGCATCATTTTGGCCAACACATCTTCCATTTGAGATTTGTATGGCGATTCATTCCTCTTCGGTCCCGGGCTACACGATACGCTATTGTTCATTCGTTTAGGGTGCGTACCCTCTTGTAATGGCGGCGTAGAGGACGATGTATCCTGCGATGAACATCGGAGAAGCGCCTTGTTTATGGGCGATCGAGGCAGTGTCTGGTCTCGTACCGCCCGTTTAGGAGGCGACACATCGCTGTTGCCCTCGCTGTCATCAAGTCTCATCTTAGCGACGAGCACCTTGAGGACGCGTCCGTTAACACTATAATAAGAAAATTATCATTGATTGTAAATGGTTACTATTTAAACGCTCAGCAAAATTATTTTAAGATACTAATACTAATGCAATTAGGAGGTATTCAGAGACAATTTCGAGTTTAAGACTAGAAATTCACAATATTAAACTTTGTGTAAATATGTATAATGGACTAGAACCGCATTTTACAATAACATACATTTAAGCATATAAATTCAACGGGAGCGTTAGCTTTGCATGGTTTTAGAAAGTTCGGATAAATTTGGCTCATAACTTGTTGTTTTAAGTTTCAAACACGACTCTAAATTTTCATTTGTTAGTTGGCTTCTTACTTTACTTTTAATTATCTGAAGATAGTCAGCACTCCAAATGCCAACTTCTTCACCTCACTGTAGCATACCGGAAGACTATTCCATGCGTCGAATATAAATGCCTCAACTAGCGGCATTTCTTTTAAAGCTGTTCATTTTTGTTGCGTTACGTACATACATTTTTGGACCTCCAACTCTTTCGACTTGTTTTTTAACTCCACGAAGCTTTACTTTTTAAATCGATCAATTGCATTTCTAGAGATCCAGTATCAACTCCAAATGGCTCAGTGTGGATCGATTTTTAATTTTTTTTTATAAAATAAATAATATTTGTGTTTGAAACTAAAGAGTCGCAGCTTCACATCCAAAGAGCCACGTGTGGCTAGCGAGCCGCAGGTTGCCGACCCCTGGTCTAGTCCATACTATGCGTCACTAATTTTAACGTTGTGAAGTTTGAACTGCAAACACCATAATGTCAAAATTTTAGTCTAGTTCATATTATGATCCACTAATTTTGACATTGTAGAGTTCGAACCCCAAACACAACACAAACTTTTAGTCTAATCCATAAGTAATATGTTTCACTAATTTTGATGTTGTAGTTTGAATTCCAAACACTACAATGACAAAATTTGTGTCTAATCCAAACGATGCCGCACTAATTTTGATATTGTAATTTCATTTTAAACTCCACAATGACTAAATTTGATTTCGCTTTACTAATTTTGACATTGTATAGTTTGAACTCGAACATGACAAATTTTGAATACAGTCAATGCTAATTTTGACATTCTAGAGTGAATTTAAATTCAGGATTGTCTCCGAATACCGGACTAAGAGCCCAATGTCGTGTGGTGGTGACTTAAGAGAATACATCGGCCCGTTCCATATTGTGGGTATCGTAAAAGGCGACTATGGGATATGGCAAAGAGACCGTTTGGCCGATTGTGACACTTTAAACATCTTAAACAGTTCTGTGCCTTTTTTTATTATTATATATTATCTTAGATTTGCTTTAATTGTCACGTTAAAATTGTTAAAAATTATTTTGCGCGTAATCCTCCCGCCAGCACCCGTCCCAGCACCACTACACTAAGAAAGACACACCACTGTCGATAATACGACACATGATTCGCCTCTACACGAGGCATCCTGAGATGAAGTAGACTCTACGGTGGCTAACCGTACCTGAGAATGCCCCAGGATCGAGATCGGGATCTAGGCGGCGGTAATTATCTTAGTTGTCCTCGCTTGGTAGACGTATTGACGATTGCGTTACTGCTGTTGGTGGTATAATTATCTTGTTTACACCAGACGTGAAATACCCAGATACAAGTAAGTGATTACTGACCTGTGCGAGGAGGCTGGGGAGGCGGGGGAGGCGGTGCGCGCGGGGTGGTCGGGGCGGTCAGGGCGCGCGGGGCGCGGGGCGCGGGCGCGCTTGCGGCGCACGGTGGGCGAGAACTGCGCGCCGCCCGCCGCCAGCCGCTCGCTCTGCGCGCAAACACACCCACCTTACACCACCCATTCATCACCCCACCTCACAATGCTACTCCGACTCCGCCAACTCACCAAATTTACTATCATAACATTAATATTCAGATAATATTAATGTTTTAATAATGTATATTCCCTGAATCTGATAACATTTTGTACATACAAAACAAATCACGATGTTACATATCATATTTTTACTATATATATAATTTGTTTGTAAGATATCATAATAGACGCCCCTCTTACAATAAAATTCTGCGAGAGCATTTTTACTAATTTCATTTTTTTTAAAGAATAAGGATAGTAGTGATCACGGTCAACGTGATGATAAGTGAATTAGACCCCTAGACTGATTAAAAATCAAATTGTGATTGCGTTGTCACCACTGAGAACTAAGATAAGAATGCTTGTTGCCAGTAAAACAGATATTCAGTTCTCTACTTTCTTTTATATTTTTCGCTGATCGAACTAACCAATGTGATTCTACCATGTTTATACCGATTCGGTGCGGGAATTGAACATTTTATTAAGAGCCTAATTTAATTAAGTTGGAAAAGGAGTTCTTAACCGAGGATAGATCTAAATGTGTACTCATTTGTCATCCTTATTCTTTAAAAAAAAATAGATGGAATAAAAAATGAAATACAGAAACTTGAAACTTACTATACATAGATAAGGAAAAATTCTAACAAAAAGAAACCAGAAAATACTAAGTACATCAACATACAGACCCCATAAATAATAGTTATACATTTATAATAATAAATAATAATAAATTATTACAGTTATATATGCAAAATTGTTAATAAATAAAACTAACTTTTTAATAATTCTAATTTTGGCTTAGTGAACCAACATCCTGGGGTTGACATCAGACAGTTCTACAAACCTACATGTATCCTCGATTAAGAATCCATCCAAAAATCCAGAACACTAAGTTTCGATGCTATTGTTACCACCAAAGAGAAGAAATAAAGAAAAAGAGATACACATACAGACAGATGAAAGATTTACAGAAAATGCCATTATATGATTTTTGAACTTAATTCTCGACAAGTCAAGGTCACACACTCACTCATATTAAACCAGGTTTATTATTTCAATAATGCTTATAAATGTTAATACTGTTGTGCACCACTATTAATGTCTTGTACATGGCAACACTAGTTACCACTAGCGCTCTCTAGTGTCGAGTAGCAGAACTAGGAGAGTCAAGATCTTTCTAGAAATTTCGGGACCGATATATACTCGAACATACTAGATGTTTGTACAGTAGAAGGTCCTGGAAACTATCTGAGGCCTTATATAAAGCCGGTATAGACCACGACCGAGTCAGTATTGAATTGGCGATATAATCGAATACTTCGAAGCGAAATAACTGCGAACTATAGTGATCAGTAGTACAATTGCGTTTTATTTTTAGTGTGGTTTTAAGTTGTTATTAGTGTTTTATAATTAAAGTGTGAATTTTGGTAACTCAATCGGCAGTTTTTAATTGTCTCGAACCCCAAGCTCGTAACAATAGTAATATTGATTGCCTACTTACCTCAGTGTGTTTGCTCTGAATACCAGTAGGAATATCAACCCGATCATTCTCGTCTACCTCAGTGGTTGAGTCCGGCTCTAAGTTCACCCGACATTTTGTTCTCCTAGTCTGTTGATCAAAAAGATTTTCTTTATTAAAGATAATGAAGATTATAAACGTGATATTATTATGTGTTATTAAATATACAACTGGTCGAAAAAGCGTTATTACGTTTATTCACCCCAAGAACCCACTCTCTATGAGGCATTTAATTCCTTACAATTCGTATATAATTGTTAACGCGCAAATTTGATCTTTAAAACTAAGTAATGCAAGACTGTTTATTCCATAAGTAAATTTTATTACTGGTCTATTAATATTATAATATCATTATCTTCTCCTTCTAATCTTAATAATTGTGTGTGTGTGTGTGTGTGTGTGTGTGTGTGTGTGTGTGTGTGTGTGTGTGTGTGTGTGTGTGTGTCGTAATAAATTGAATTATATGTGAATCCGTTGACATTATTTAATATACCTGGACTAGTTGTTACACGATCATTACATTAACATCTCACATCATACACCTACCTGTGTATTGTGTATTCTGTCCAGCAACCAGCTGGGTCCTTCTAATGGGTCCTCCATCCTGATTCTGAAATATCAAGCATATTATTAAAACATTTAATTACAGGAAACGATACGAGATTGCAACATTCGACAATTTTGGCGGGACTAATTACATGTATTTTGACATATCTATATTCCATTCATAGACTTAGATTATACTGGCATAATTCCGTTGTACATTTGACATTATTATTTATTATCCACGTTTGTTGAAATATTTCATTGTATGACATTATGTTTTATTATCCGTGTTATTTGATTTGATTTAATGAATAATGAGATAATGTTTTAAGTTCCATGATTTTAATAATATTGTAAGCCTTATCTAGGCAGGTTGTGGTGATACTAAATTACTTTTATAGTGTTAAATCTCTTAAGTCTACAACTAGCACAATAAATGACTTATTCTTTTCTATCTTTTTTTTCTAACGACAAATTTTACGGCAACCACGGCGGCGCCACTTAGGAATGAGGTGAATTTCACAGATCTCATGACGGCGAAGTTAAATTGTTCGATAAATTTTAAGGATTAATGTTTCCTTCTAAAATATTTGTTATATTTTGTATTTATTAGATTAGTAATGGATAAACCAAACTACGTATTAACCTAAAAGTAGAAATAAAAAAAAAAGTTAATATGTGTAAAAAAATATAGAATACACCATTAAGACTGTTTTGTGTACATACATAGACTAGAAATCGAAAATATTTTAATTAAAACGAACTCTTCAATGATGATGACACTGGTAACATCTGCGTAAATAAGTATTATCAATATCAATCCATCATCATCAGCCTGTAAGTACTGCGTGACATGGGGGCCTCCCCATTTGGGGGGGGGGGGGAGGTGCCTTAATCGTCGCAGCGTCTTCCTAATAACGACCAAAAATAAAAATAAACTGCAGTTGCCATCCCGCTTGCTAAGTGTGGCAACTATGGCAAATATCTCCCCTATGGGGCAACCTTTGGAGGAAACTTATATTCAGCAGTGTATTTTAATAGGTTGTAATGGTATAATATGTTGTACAATTATTATAATACCCATTCAAACCGGGGACCACATGATCTGTAGTCGCGCTTTCGACCACCAGCTAACTTTTTACACTGTTCACAGGAAAATTCCACTTACCTAGAAATAATTGGAGATATTTGTTCATCATCCTCTGGCTCTAGTTCTTCATCGACTACATCCAACCTTCGCCTGGCAAGAATTACATTATTTTGTAGCATATACTAAGTAAAGATACTACCTACAAATGTCACACAGGTCTTTTCAGGTAATTTCCTTTCTACGAGGGTTATCAGGAAAAATCCACTGGTGGTAGGGTCTTTTGATTACTGTCTATATATCAGGCTGGGTCAGTACCGCCTTCTTATTTTTGGCACCGAGCCGCAGTGTTCTGGCTTGAAGGGTAAGAAAGCCAGTATAATGAGGGCATCGACGACTTTATCTGTCGCCAGGACGGAGCCACTTTGGAATGAGGTGAAATATTTGACAAATTTAATAGCGGGTCAGTTAATTTGTTGGAAAAATGTAAGTTTTAATGTTTCTTTATACAATATTAGTTATATTTTATATTAATTAGACTACAAATGAATAAACCAAACTATGTGTAGTGGCGGTGTAAGAATATCCACTACCCCATACCATTCCGTGGGTGTGGTAAGAACTGACAGAGGGAAACCAACAGATGGGCACCATCTTCCCATCTCTATATAAATCAATTGCTGTCTGTTAGTCTCGCTAAAACTTAAAAAAGGCTCGAACGTATGTGTTTGTAGGTAGCGCTGTTGTCGAGATCCAAATAAATCACAAGTGTGAAGCCAAGGGATCACTAGTAACGACTAAAAATAAAACTACGGTTACCAACCTGCTTGCCAAGTGTGGCAACTATGGCAAATATGCTATATATACGAGGCAATCAATAGGGGACGCCTATTGTTCAACAGTGTACTTTCATAGGCTGTAACGGTAAACCAAACTACGGATACTCCTAAAAATATTAAAAATTGAAGAAGAAAAAAACTAGTTAAAAATGTGCAAAAAATTAAAGAGCAAACCACTGAGGCATAGTCTTGTGTATTATTACAATATTTTCGAAACTGATTAACTTTTATTTAAAGGTAACTTCTCGTAAAATGAAAGTGTTTAACAAAAAACTTCACCCGAGTCCCTCTTAGTGACATCTGATGAGCGGAAGATTATTTGTTCTCATCACAGGATGTTAGGTTGCTGGCCTTAATGGACTGCTGTGGTCTCTTGTCATCAGGTGGGCTATATATAAAATACTAGCTGGCCTGGCAGACGTTTGTTCTACCCTTAGCGGCGAACCTCTATACTATAACAATACTTACATTCGCAATAAAAAATGCTGAGGGTTACTTACCGGGATAAAAACTACCCTATCTCTCAAGTTGGACCAAACTGCACACAATGTGCAAAATTTCATTGAAATCAGTTCAGTAGTTTAGGAGTCCATCGCTGACAAACAACGTGACACGTCATTTTTATATATAAAAGGTTACGTGTCACATTGTTTGTCCGCACACTACTTAACTGATTTCAATTAAATTTTGCACACTATGTGCATTTTGGTCCAACTTGAGAGATAGGATAGTTTTTATCCCGATAAGTAGCCCTCAGCATTTTTTATTGCGAATGTAAGTATTTTTATAGTATAGAGGTTCGCCGATAAGGGTAGAACAACGTCTGCCAGGCCAGCAAATTTTTATATATAAAGATAATATTTTCGGGTGTAAACTACAAAATTTTTCTTCCAAGGGCCAATATCACCTGCATACACACTTTTTTTATAAACTTGAAGTACAAACAAACTTACAATCCACCTGATGGTAAGTGGCTGCAGCCCATTGATACCTGCAATCACACTTTATAAGTGGTAGAGTCATACTGCAGATATATTGGTAGTATAGTTGTAGCACGAATGGGTTGGCTCGACCGGGAAGGGACCACGCTCTCACAGTATACCAGCGTAAAATAGCAGCTTAACACTGCTGTGTTTCGTCTGGTGAGTGTAGGGAACCGAAAACCTTTTTTTACTGGAAAAGAGGCATTCCATCTTAGTCCTCACGGGTGATAATGCATCTGCATTTTGATTCTTTATTGAGGATAGATGTAGATGTCTCTGGGTCACCGCAACCACTTACCATCAGGTGTGCTCTTTTGTCACCCTATCCTATAAAAAAAATCAACATTAAACAAAGAAGACCACAGATGCATTGTCATCTCCGAGGAGATTTAATGTCCTCAATTATACTGGCTCTCTATACCCTTTAGACCTGAACGCAGCAGCGCAAGCTGCAGATCAACTGACAGACCACCTGATGGTATGTGGGTACAGCAGACCATAGAGACTTGGAATCAACTTCAAACGAAGTAGGTTACAAATGCATTGTCACCTCTGAGTGTTAAGATGGAATGCCTTACAGTTTGTTATTATATAGGCTCTATAGCATGGCCAGTGCGGAGGTGTCGGCTCTGTGCTCACAAACCTGCCAACATGCTGACAGCGAATTAATCTTCGAAATGTATGCCTAAAGCTAACCCATGGCACAACCCTGACTTCATCATTAGCCCATAAAAGTATTCTATTTTATTGTTCGAATACTTTTGTATATAGACATTTAACAAACACAGTAAAAAATAATAAAATAAAAGCAAAATAATCAGTGCGCCATCAGATGTACCGACACTATCTTAGCGAACAGACTATATATAGAGCCAATATAATTACAGGTTGTGAGGCATTCCATCTTAGTCCTCAGAGATGACAGCGCATCTGCAGCCTTCATTGTTTGAAGTTGGTGGCAGACGTCCATGGATTGCACTTGCCACTTAACATCAGTTAAACTGTAACTTCATTTGTCACTTCAGTTTTATAAAAGAAAACTTACGCCATCAAGACACGGCAAAAATGGTTGACATAATAATAGCTACTTACGATGTTTGGATTTCATCAATTTCGGAATGATTTTGAGATTCCTCCAATACCCTCTCGCTACTATCTGGAAAAGAGGTATATATTTTAAATTATAAACCAACTTAACATTAGAATTTGTACATGAGATGTACTTCCGCTTTTATGACACAGCTTTCTTAGGAACAATTTTTGTATTCTAATAGCAGTGTAGTGCGCCGTGTAGTGGCGGCTAAGAATATCCACTACCCCCATATCTTCCCGTGAGTGTCGTAAAAGGCGACAAAGGGAAACAGGCAGGAGATGGGCAGCAGCATCTTCCTGATAACAGCAAAATTACAATAAAAAAACTGCGGTTGCCAACCCGCTCGCCAAGTGTGGCAACTATGGCAAATACCCCCATGATAAAAGTTACAAAAACACGGCCCCAGTCCCCGGCGGCCCTGATATTCCTGGCTACGGTGGCGACCATGGTAACGGCGGGGCAGGGGGTGCTAAGAATCTCCGGTGGAGGCTCGGTTGTCATCTAAGACGACTCGACCTGGCAACATACAACGCACGCACCCTGAGGACTGACGAGAAGATCGTGGAGTTGGAAGAAGAGATAGACAAGTTGCGCTGGCATGTTATAGGATTATCCGAAGTCCGAAAAGAGGGGGAGGACACGGTAATCCTCGAATCCGGCAACTTGCTCTATCACCGGGAGGGCGACCATCTGTCCCAAGGAGGTGTCGGATTTATCGTCCACAAGTCTCTCTTTAACCGGTTCAGTGCGTTTTTGTGAGGCGTATGACACGCGAGTCGTGTCTTTTTTTTAAATTGTTATAACTCGCTCAAATTGCGTTTTTGGAAGATTTATTCAAAACAAAATATTCATTATTTTGCAAGTAGTTCATGCCTACAGCTTCATTTCTAAATATTTTGAATTTTTCAAATTTTTAGGGGTTGACAACCTTTTTTTAACTTTTACATGGTACTCTTTTTACTTTGTGGGTTTTAAATCATGTTGTAGAAAAATAGTCTAATAAGTAACAAATAATAGCACTCATTGCGATCGCTCACAAACTCAAGTTGTATATAAATTTCTGGAAAACAAGTATCCTGTTATAAAAAACAATGCGTTTGTCTTATTGTTTCATTTTGCTTAAAAACCTACGAGGTACCATGTGCTCAATTCGAAACCGTATATGCATAAAAAAAGTTCGGTAATAAATAGTCTTTTGTCAATCCGCCGCCGTATAGTGCCAGCGTTTTTTTCCTTTTGAAAACACTTGTTTTGCTATTCTTACCAATTAGACGTTTTCAGATCGACTCTAATTTTACATTTGTTTAACATTAAATAATATTTAACATTTGTAAATATCAATGAATCATAAACCTTATTTTTTCCAAATTAGGGTTCTAGATTGTTTGATAGTTACAAATGTTATTATTAGGTGCAAAATTTAATTTAATAAAAACCAAGGTTTTCCAGGGTGATTTACCTGTACCTACATATATACATGATTTTTTATAAAACAAAAAATAGTACAAAAGGTTTGTAATCTCTGCATAAAAAAGTCACTTACTCTCAATTTCAAAGAAAACACGTAGGAAAACACGTAGTTACCCACTAAAAACAAGTATCTTTCCGTTTGTAACTGATGTTTGATGTCAACTAAACTTAATTAGGTCTAAACAAGAGAAAAAAGCATTAAAAAGAAAATTATTTTTACACATGGCTGACGACACACCAGGCGTGTCACAAAATATTTGTTCACCGCCACAGCTAAAAGTTGTCGAAAATTGGTGTCGCAACGAATCGGTTTTTTATATTATATATAATAAAAATATACAATCTCCAATATTTATATATTATACATATACGTACAGTAGTACAATAATACAATTAGTAAATAATTAATTACTGACTGCTTCGTTGGTCTAGTAAGCGCAACTGCTGATTTTGGTTTCGAATCCCGGGTCATACCAAAATCAATTATTGGGTTTTTATGTGAAGAAATTCTCATTGGCAGTCTGGAGTCAGAAAGTTGATGCTGTTCCTCCATCTCAGAAAAACACGTTTATCGGTTTGTAAAAAAAAATATAAAAAACCGATTCGTTGCGACACCAATTTTCGACAACTTTTAGCTATGGCGGTGAACAAATATTTCCTTACACGCATATCGTAAGCGCCATAGAAGTTGATGACACGCCTTTTGTGCCATGAGTCAAGTGTAAAAATAATATTCATTTTTATGCTTTGTTCACTTGTTTAGACCTGGTTAAGTTTAGTTGACATCAAACATCAGTTGCAAACGGAAGGATACTTGTTTTTAGTGGCTAACTACATATTTTTCTACATATTTTCCTTAAAATGGAGAGTTAGTGACTTTTTCTATGCAGAGGTTACAAATCTTATTGTACTGTTTTTGTTTTATAAAAAAATCATTTATGTAAGTAGGTAGAGCTTAATCACCCTGAAAAACCTTGGTTTTTAGTAAATAAAATTTTCACCTAATAATAACGTTTACAAACGTTCTTATTAGGTGAAAATCATCAAACAATCAAGAACCTTAATTCGGAAAAAACAAGGTTTATGATTCATCGATTTTACAAATGTTATATATTATTTAATGTTATACAAATATAAAAGTCGATCTGAAAACGACTAATTAGTAAGAATAGCAAAACAAGTGTTTTCAAAAGGAAAAAAACAATAGCCAGATGCGCCGGAGCTGTACGGCGACGGATGAACAAGACTATTTAGGTAATAGTAACTTTTTTGCAATGCAGTGGACGATATGAATGACAAGCTTGTGAAAACTGTTCATGCGGTCGGAGCTAAGTTTTGCAAGACCCGCCGCAGAAGAACACAAAAACTCTTCGATCACACTCTTAATCTCATGGCTGTTAAACGGGATATGAAGCTGCAGTCATCAGTAGATTTGACAGCATACAGGCAACTGAACAGTCAGATCTCTAAATGCATGCGGCAGGACTTACGCAACTTTAACACTGATCATATTGTAGAAGCGATCGAGCGGAACCAGCGCTCCAAAGTCTTTGCTAGAGATATGTCTGCCAGAAAGAGCCAACTATCGAACCTGAAGACCGAGTGTGGCAGCGTCGTTTCCGGGACACCTGAGATTTTGAGTGAGATTGAGAGGTTCTATGGGCAGCTGTAGTAAAAGCAAGTGTGAGTAACGATCCAAGAGCGAGTCTTATCCGACACTATTCCGATGATATCCCGGACGTCAGTCAGAGAGAGATTAGAATGGCTCTCCAGCACCTTAAAAAGTGGCCGGGCGAGGATGGAATTACAGCGGACCTTCTGAAAGCGGGTGGAAAACCGGTACTCGAAGTTCTTCAGTAGCTCTTTAATTCCGTCCTCCATGGTGGCATTACACCGGAGGCGTGGAGCAGAAGTGCGGTTGTCTTGTTCTTCAAGAAAGGTGACTACGCTCTCTTGAAGAACTACAGACCGATTTCCCTTCTGTGCCGCGTCTACGTGCTGTTTTCGAGAGTATATACTTTCATATGCATTTAATAAAAAGCTGTAATGTTGACATTACAAACAGACACTTCAATTTTATTATATATATATATATATATCAATATTCTTAAGTTCAGAAGTAAATGTTCTAGAATTTCACCTTCTAAACCTAGATCTTCTGTACTATTTTCAATATTTGATTCAGCATCAGCCTCCACATTGTTATGAAGTAATTCGGCCGCATCTATCCTTGTTAACGGAATGTACACATCTGCAAATAAATAAGTACTAGCCTTAGCAACTAAATTATCGCTCACAATCGACCTTTTAAAATCAGACCTCGCACTAGTACCTTGTAGTAACATGTGCATGGGCATTGCCCTCTCTGTCACATTATGATTTTGATTAGGACTTCTATTAATAGAACCTGAAATAGATAACAAATAATGTAAATTGTATTGCCATCACAATATTAAAGCAACAATTCATAAAACAATTATGATAATTATTTACTTGTTTTAACTACTACTATTAGTACATTGGGGGAGGCCTATGAATTGTTTACCACCGGCGATTTTTCCGAACCGATATGACTTGGGGACCTTCAAGAAAAAAGTTTACACCTTTCTAAAAGGCCGGCAACGCATCTGCAATTCCCTTGGTGTTGCGGTTGTTCATGGACAGCCGTAGTCACTTACCATAAGGTGAGCCACATGCTCGTTTGCCCCCTGTTCTATATATAAAAAAAACAATATTACTCTTAAAATACAATTTGAGAAACTTACGTGAACCACTAGTATTGAGCAATGTCCTGCTAAGTGATACCACTGGCTGAATGGACTGGCCACCAATCAACAATGGTGGGACCCTGTTCACTCTGTCTGTTGCTGGCGTACCACTGATTGTACTCCAGCGTGGTGAAGATGCGTCCAGCTCCTGTCTCTCTCTCATGTATGCTTTTACCAGATCCATAGTCCTCGCAACAGCACCAGACGCTTGTACCAGGTGGGTAAGTGCCTCCTGACTTGTTGCTTGTAACGCTGCATCTAATTGACATACTTGTGCTGCGCCACTACTCCGTATTTTCTGCAATATTAAATAATAACAATAATATTTAAGATATTCTTATGGCATAATTTTATTTTCATAGCAAGTATAATATCAATTAGGATTATATAAGTTTCATATGGCATATGGGAGTGAAGCATGGGCTTTAACAAGAAGCATACCAAACAAACTCTCCATATGCCAACATGCCATGGAAAGGAGTATGGTATGGATCAAAATAAGAAATAGCAGCATCAGAAACAAAACTAAAGTCCAGGACACAACTGAAAAAAGTAAAGAAACTTATATTCAAACCCGCGCTGAAAAAAACGCAACGTAATTTCAATCCCCCGCCATTTTGAAGTTTACTGTGCGTACTTATGTGATTAAGTATTTGTCTTATTTTGTGACTCGGCTATAACTTTTTGCACTGATTCTACTATATTAGTTTACCTTGGCAAGTTATATACTGGTATATCATAAATAATAATATCTAATATTATTACTTATGATATTATCTAAATAAGGATGTCATACTGCAGCTTAGTTGTAAGAAAGTTTAGTAGATGGCAGTTTAAACAATGGTAGTATAGTCTTTGAAAAAAAATTGATAAATGCAAAATAATTATGGAGAGGCATAACATAGCCTTGCAAAGAATAACATTTTTAAGAGAAATGTAAAATATAACCAATTAGGACGTCATAATCGTTGATGAAATGATGACACTGCAGCATTTTGCTCGCAGGTACCCATGGGGAAAGGTGATGGAGGATCCGTCAGAGGAGGATTTGTAGAAAATTATTTATTAGCTTTCCAATAAAATAGTACAAGAGAATGCGATGAGGCAATAGATGCTGTAAAATTCAAAGAGTTGGTTATAACCCTTTTACAAAATATTCCTGCGAATATCACAAGACTACCACCATACCACTGCCGTTATAATGCTATTGAATTGATTTGGGCCCAAATCAAAGACTAGTTCTTATATGAAATGTTCTTAATGCAAACATATTATTAACTCTACTAAACACACACAAGATTTAGTATCTTATGACTATATATAACTTCAGTGTCCCCATAGCAAAATACCATATGATATTATGTTATGGAAATAGCACAAGCAAACTAGTCTAGCTGTTTCAACACTGGTGAGATTTCTAATATTTTTTACTGAACTGAACTGCAGAACTAAGTCTGCTTGCTAGTTTTGATATATGGGGGCTCCATTTAAGCTTCGCTTCTAGTGTGATTCTAAGAAAATGGTGGTATCAACAAGCTCTTTCCCTATATTCTTTAATACTATATTCAATATAAACTCATAAATAACACAAACAGTAAAATATATCTTCAACAAATAGCAACATGGATTAAACAATGTTGTTAAATAAATTATATATAAAATATTAGAAACTCACACTCAGTTTCATCCTTAATTCATTTATTTCTTTCATAAGTTCCAGCTTTTCATTCTCCCTTTGTGCTGCAGTCATTTTCCAATATTGTACCTTTTGTACCAACTCTTTATTCTTCTCTAAAAGGTCTTTAACTTCATCTTCAGGGTTCGACATAGTGAAACGGATAAATACACTACAGCCACAAACTAAATAGAAGTATGACTACAGCCCTTAAATTTATTTATTCTCTTCTTCTTCCTTTATGGCAGTTACTATGAATTCGCCAATGACATGTTATATGCAAAGTGGTTTAATTGGGACATAAACTCTGCATAAAAAAGGGAAATTAATAATACAAGACAGTGCAACAATGAATATTATGTGATTGATTTTGGCCAACTTATATGCTGAATTACCTAAAACAAAAGACAATGTTGTTAGAACAATCATCATCATATATATGTAACGAAAAATATATAGTTTAATGTGGTTAGAGTTAATAAAATCACATAAAATATATACAAAAGAGGTATTTGTGAAAGTTAGGAGTTAAAATCTATGGAACGAGGAATGTAAGGGGCAGACAATAGTAAACAGATGATGACAATTTGGTGCAGATAAAATATATATGGTTAGTTTTTCCCTCATCTAAACCAAATTTGCACAGAGAACTATCCCTAATCCAGAGTTTAGCTAGGTCAACATAGGTACAGGCATGTCCAATTCTCAACAGGCAACAATAGAAGTAGCATACTTTTTTGCTTTATTAAATATGAAAAACCAAGGTCTTGATGGAATATTATCTTGTATAGCAGCATAATGCTTGCCTTTTAGTATTTGTGATGTTTTAACAAGCGTTTTCCTAGCAAGTGGAAGTGGAAGTCATTGGAATAGGTAATATTTAGTGGGGTGCCATTTCTAATAGCACCTTTGGCATACAGATATGATTTTTCATTTTTACAGATACCACTATGACTAGGTATCCAGGCTAAACAGCCAGAAATCCCTTTAAGATGACACCTATACAGAATGTTTTATATATCAAGAATTAAGGAAAATTTATATTTACCTTGAAATTGGTTAGCCAAAATAACAGATAAGCAGCAATTCTTAGAATCGCTAAAAATCACTGTTTTGTCTAGGCTATGTGATTCAATGTATGGCATAGCTGCATGGATTGCAATTGCCTCAGTAGTAACAATGGAACAAAATGAAGGGCAATTAAAGCTAAGGATTATTTTAAACATGGAAATTCAGACAGCTGCACCAGTACAGCCGTCATCAGTAATTTTGGATGCATCTGTATACATGATCATCCAATCTTTCCATTTTTTCCTATGGCTTCTTTTAATTTTAATACTGCCTCAGGGAAACCTTTTCTAATATCAAGGTCAAGGGAATGTTAGGTTGATATATATAAGTTTAGAAAAGAGTATTAAAGAGAGACAAAGCTATCAAATAAATGTGGACAATCTTTATGGAGCCTGTACTTACTTGAAGATAAGAATTCTGAGAGAAAGCCTTATCTACAACAGCATTAATTGAGGAGCTATGGGAAGGAAGAAGTAGTTTGCTTTTCTCATCCCAAAGGCATGAATAACCTGAGATCCTAAATTGGCAGTCAGGTCTAAACCACATCTCCTGGATGGCAAGAAGAAGTGGACTAAATTTGTTAATAAGGAAGATAAGTTCATTCTTTTTATGTTTAATATCCCAACAATTCCATTGTAGAATTGTGAATGTTGCTAGTTATTTAAGTAAGTTGAGTAAGTTTTTTGCATCAACTGAGGAGAAGTTCTGCATCACTTAAATGGGAAATCTTATGATATTAATGTTAATTAACATTGATATCATAAGTTTTCAGAAATTATCATTCTTAGAAATGTTACCATTCCCTAGTAAAGTATACCCATTAGGAATGGAAGAAGTAGGATCTTCAACAATTGCCTGATTGATAAGGCAATGATAAGCCAGCCCTTATCATATCCAGAATTTAATAATTGGCTGTAAGTATGTTGTGAAATAAAAATAGATTCTTTTTGTTTTATGTAGTTTGTGGAGGCTGAGCCAAAGGGGTTGAAAAACTGTCAGTTATGAGATAAGAGGTCTGTAGAGAAGAATTACGAGGCAGGCTTCTTGTTGTGTCAGCAAAGGATCTTCCAGCGATCGATCCAGCTGAAACTTCTAGATATGAAATTTTTTTTTGACATAGCAAGCTTAATAGATTTTCCCTTAGATGTTCAGGGCAAATTGGATCTTTTGCTGTGTGGACACCTGAGTAGAATAGCACAAGTAGGAGTTTGCCTAGTACAAGATAAACCTTCATGATTCTGTGCACATACAAAGCAGCTAGGAGATGATCGACACTGGGAAGTTACATAGCCAAATCTGCAACATTTATGACACTGAATGAATGGCAAAACATATTTTTCTACTGGCATAGAGGTGTAAAAACAGTAATTAGTATTAGTATTAGGGTGGAAGTTTTTGCCCAGAAAAAGTTAGAACTACTATCTGAGTTGGAACCCATGAAACTACTGCTGTCCACTCACCATTCGTCTATTAAGAGTTGGAGAGCTTTAATTATATCACCATAGCCAGAGAAAATTTCTGTAACTGCTAATAATACTTCTAGTGTCCACTCTATGGTAACTTGTCTGACTAGCCCCATATGAGTGATACTATATGAGGGGATAGTTGCTTCATATTTAAAAGTCTGGACAGTGGGGTGATCAATAAAAATGTTTGCATCCACTGCTGTTTTAAACTCAATCGATATCCTGTTTTGTCCAACTTTTTTAACTCCATCACAAACTATATTTTTAATATTACTATGATTCAGAAAGTGACCGATTTTAATTGGTTTAAGAATTACTCCAGATAGGTGATCATTTGAGACTTTACTTACGTGAACTAGAAAAGGCGCGGTACCATCTTGAGAGTACTTTACTTTTGTATTACTTAAATCAGGATAGGTATATGAATAATAATATTTTTTTGTGGATGGGCACACCCGTTACTTACTGGTCAATATAATGGGTAAGGAAACACCCTTTCGGGATCGGGATGTTCGTCCTCCATTATATTTCTACAACTAAAAATTACATAAAAACGGCACAACTAATAACACTTACTAATCTACAGTTGTTAAAACCACCAAGACAAAAAAAAATTACTATAGTAAATCACCAGCACTAAATAAAACAATAAATGTAGGCGAGAAAACTATGACACATATCTCTCACTTAAAATCAAGACAGAGTCCAATTCACAGAAAACAATTACTCTTTACTTCCAATCTATCTTATTTATTTTCATTTAATTTTTAATTCAATCACTGACGTTTCATTAGCTTTAAAAATTCAAATTGTTGTCAAGACTCAAGTGTCAACGTTCTAGAATTCATATCATAGATAAATAAATATGTAGCAACCAATAGTCTTTGCGCACTTCTTACTAGTTTGTGGTCTTTGCGTTATTATAATACTAAGCACCTATGCTAAGCACTAAGCCATAGACTAATATATATATAGGCGTGTGTATCTCTTTACGGAAACGACTCACTGATACGAATCACTGAAGTGACACAAAAGATTGGTTCAGTAACAACGTTTCAAATGTATCATTTGTATCTGGAACAGTGAAACATTACTTTGCTCTTTGCTCATTTCGCTCGACGCGTCGCTTGCGAGGCGACTGAGCCACGAGCGAGAGAGAGAGAGACTGAGACAATGATTAACTTAACTATTGACTCACGAGTGGCGAGTGAGCGGGCGAAATAATTATAATTCACACAAGTCAGATAGAGATAACAAATAAGAAGTGTATCACTCAACTCGTACGGATTTTCGCTGACGTTATTCATGCACGTAATAATTACTACTAAGGCGCTTATGTGTCAGATACTATACGGTCGTTTTTTGTATGTAACGTTTGCATTAACAAGTTGATGCGGCACTTGTCAAATTGTTTATATTCATTAGCGCCTGTTTACGAAAACATACTGAGTTATGTTTAGGATTTCTTTGCGTAGTGATTATTGTGACTTTACTTTCTTCCTTTTCATCATAAAGTTTAGAGTTTTTATACTTTACGAGTAAATTCTGTGTACATAGACATTGCTGTTTTGTGTAAATGGACATTTTTGTAAATAATGAATTGTCACATAGTGACATTTTTGTTAAAGTATGAAGGAGAATCGATTTTATATACAATCTTATTACGGTACACAATAAATAATCTAAGCACTTATATTATTCAGCATTGTTGCCACATAACATTTCACGGATCAGTCAGTAATAAACGCCCGCGACGCAACTTAATGTATTCGGAACATTCTTTCTTTTATATCTTTTGAGTCGATGATACAAAGGAGCCGAATGAAACATATCAGTGTTTCGGAACATTTCAATGATCAAGATGCAAATGTTCCAATCCCAAAAATGATAGACTTTGCCCACCTCCAATATATAATACTGGAGACACTAAGCATGGTAGTGGTATGTACTTAGCTTAGTTACACTTTTGACGTGTCTAGAGATGGAACATGGAACATTGTTAAATCGATTAAAGGCGATTAACAATACACAAAGCAAAGCAAAAATTATCGATTGTACTCGTGACAATCTAAGAAGCCCGATTTGACAGCTATAAAAATACTTTGTGTAATGAGGGCATCCACGACTTTTTCTGCCACCAGGGCGCGCTACTTTACAGTGAGGTAAAATATTTGAAAGATTTCATAGCGGGGAAGATAATTTCTTAGGAAAATGTAATCTTTAAGGTTTCTTTCTTTATTATTAGTTATATTTTATATAAATTACATTAGAAATGAATAAACCAAACTATAAATGTAACTAAAAGCCGATTTTTTTTAAAAAGAGTTATAAAGTGCAAAATATTTAAAATCAAACAACTGACGCATCGTGTTGTCTATTAATATAATACTCTAGATAATGATATGATAAACTATTATTTAAAACTAATTTCTCAATTAACTGACACTGTAACAAAAAACTTTACTTCAGTCGCTACTAGCGACATCTGGTGAGTGGAAGATTATTAGCCCTTATGCTGGGGTCACAGTAACGAGAAACGTCAATGCCCATAAACGCAACAATTATTGCCTTAATTTTAACGCGATAAACTGAGTGGCCACACTTGTGCCCGGGCTA